AAGAGGTGGTGCCCGTGGTGAACACGGCTGAGGTCGTGAGGCTGCTCTCGCTGGGAGATGAAGAGGTGCCAGTGGTGGACTCGGTCGCGGTCATGTGGGTACTCTGCTTGGGCGATGAGGACGTGCCTGTGGCAGGTTCGACCGAGGTCGTGTGGCTCCTCTCGCTGGGAGAAGAGGAGGTGCCAGTGGTGGGTTCGACCGAGGTTGTATGGCTGCTCTCGCTGGGAGAGGAAGTGGTACCTCCGGTAGTCTCGGCCGAGGTCCTGTGGCTTGTCTTGCTGGGAGAGGAGGAGGTTCCAGTGTTGGGCTCGGCCGAGGTCGCCGAGATGCTCTCGGTTTGAGAAGAAGAGGTGCCCGTGGAGCTCTCGGCTGAGGTCGTGTGGCTTGTCTTGCTTGCAGAGGAGGAGGTTCCTGTTGTGGTCTCAGCCACGGTTGTGTGGCTGCTCTCGCTGGGCGACGGGGACGTGCCTGTGGAGGGTTCGACCGAGGTCGTGGGGCTGCTTTCGCTCGGATAGGAGGAGGTGCCAGTGTTGGGCTCAGCCGAGGTCGCGGAGATACTCTCGGTATGAGAAGAGGAGGTGCCCGTGGAGCTCTCGGCTGAGGTCGTGTGGCTTGTCTTGCTTGCAGAGGAGGAGGTTACTGTTGTGGTCTCAGCCACGGTCGTGTGGCTGCTCTTGCTGGCAGAAGAGGTGGTGCCCGTGGTGAACACGGCTGAGGTCGTGAGGCTGCTCTCGCTGGGAGATGAAGAGGTGCCAGTGGTGGACTCGGTCGCGGTCATGTGGGTACTCTGCTTGGGCGATGAGGACGTGCCTGTGGCAGGTTCGACCGAGGTCGTGTGGCTCCTCTCGCTGTGAGAGGAGGAGGTGCCAGTGTTGGGCTTGGCTGAGGTCGTGGGGCTGCTCTCGCTGGGCGAGGAGGAGGTGCCAGTGTTGGGCTTGGCCGAGGTCGTGGAGATACTCTCACTTGGGGAGGAGGAGATTCTTGTTGTCTCAGCCATGGTCGTGTGGCTGCTCTCGCTGGGAGAGGAGGTGGTGCTCGTTGTGGGGTCGGCCGAGGTCGCGGAGATTCTCTCGGTGTGAGAAGACGAGGTGCCCGTGGAGCGCTTGGTAGAGGTCGTGGGGCTGCTTTCGGTGGCAGAAGAGGTGGGGCCTGTGGTGGGTTCGTCCGAGGTCATGTGGCTGCTCTCGCTGTGAGAGGTGGAGGTGCCAGTGGTGGGCTTGGCAGAGGTCGCGGAGATGCTCTCGGTGTGAGAAGAGGAGGTGCCCGTGGAGCTCTCGGCTGAGGTCGTGTGGCTTGTCTTGCTTGCAGAGGAGGAGGTTCCTGTTGTGGTCTCAGCCACGGTCGTGTGGCTGCTCTTGCTGGGAGAAGAGGTGGTGCCCGTGGTGAACACGGCTGAGGTCGTGAGGCTGCTCTCGCTGGGAGATGAAGAGGTGCCAGTGGTGGACTCGGTCGCGGTCATGTGGGTACTCTGCTTGGGCGACGAGGACGTGCCTGTGGCAGGTTCGACTGAGGTCGTGTGGCTGCTCTCGCTGTGAGAGGAGGAGGTGCCAGTGTTGGGCTTGGCTGAGGTCGTGGGGCTGCTCTCGCTGTGAGAAGAGGAGGTGCCCGTGGAGCTCTCGGCTGAGGTCGTGTGGCTTGTCTTGCTTGCAGAGGAGGAGGTTCCTGTTGTGGTCTCAGCCACGGTCGTGTGGCTGCTCTTGCTGGGAGAAGAGGTGGTGCCCGTGGTGAACACGGCTGAGGTCGTGAGGCTGCTCTCGCTGGGAGATGAAGAGGTGCCAGTGGTGGACTCGGTCGCGGTCATGTGGGTACTCTGCTTGGGCGACGAGGACGTGCCTGTGGCGGGTTCGACCGAGGTCGTGTGGCTCCTCTCGCTGTGAGAGGAGGAGGTGCCAGTGTTGGGCTTGGCCGAGGGCGCGGAGATGCTCTCGGTGTGAGAATAA